GGAAAGAAAAATTTTCATTTTCACGGAATTAATATTGAGAAGATTGTGACAGTCTGAATAAGATGACCATGCCCTAATCCCCAGAGTCTGTGAATATGTTACCTCACGTGATAAAAAGGAACTCTGCTGCTCGCCATCATATGTCATCAGGAAAATGCAGGTTAAACCAATAATGAGTTAACACTACATGACTATTAGAATGACCAAAACCCCAAACACTGACAACACCAAATACTGATGAGGATGCAGCACAATAGGAATTCTCATTCACCACTGGTGGGAATGCGAAATGGTACACCCACTTCGAAAGACAGTTTGGTGGTTTCTTACGAAACTAAACATACTCTTACCACACGATCCAACAATCACACCCCATGGTCTTTACTCAAATAAGCTGAAAACTGATGTCCACACAAAAACCTGCACACATGTTAACAGCAGCTTTATTTATAACTGCCAAAACTTGGAAGTTACCAAGAAGTCCTTCAGTAGGTGAATGAATTAATAAACTGTGGCACATCCCAACAATGGAATATTATTCAGTGCTAAAGAGAAATGAGCTATCAAGCCATGAAAATACTTGGAGGAAATTTAAATGTATATTGCTAAGTGAAAAAAGCCAATCCAAAAAGGATTTTTTACTGTATAATTACTGTATAATTCCAACTATATGACCCTCTGGGAGAGGCAAAACTATGGAGACAATGAAAAGAACAGTGGTTGCCAGGGGTTGGGAGAAAGAGAGATGAATAGGCAGAGCACAGAAGAATTTTAGGGCAGTGAAAATACTCTGTATGATGTCACAATAATGAATACCTGTCATTATACATTTGTCCAAACCCATAGAATGTACAACACCAAAAGGGTACAACACCAAGAATGTAAACAATGGACTTTGGGTGATGATGACATGTCGATGTAGGTTCATCAATGTGACAAACGTACCACTCTGGTGCAGGATATTGAGAGTGGAGGAGGCTATGCACGTATGGGGGTAGAAAGTACACGGGAAATCTCTGTACTTTCTGCTCAACTTTCCTGTGAACCTAAAACTGTTCTAAAAACTAAAATCTATTAAAGGGGCAGGGGGAGGAGGCTTTGCAGGTATGACTAAATTAAAAATTTGAGATGGGGAGATTTTATCCTGGATTATAAGGGTAGAGGCTCAAGGTAATCACAAGGGTCTTTATAAGAAGGAGGAAAAAGGATCAGAGTCAAAAAAGATGTAGGCACAAGCAGCAGAAGTCAGAGAGAAGAGAAGATAATGTGCTGCTGGCTTAGAAAATGGAGGAAGGGGTACCAAGCCCAGGAAGTTGTAAAAGATAAGGAAATGGATTCTCCCCTACAGTCTCCAGAAGAAACACCTGCCAACACCTGGATTTTAGTCCAGTGAAACTGATTTAAGATTCCTGAGCTCCAGAACTGTAAGGTGATAACTTTGTGTTGCTTTAAGCCACTAAGTTTATGGTAATCGTTACAGCAGCAATAAGAAACTAATAGAAAAACCACATCTAAGCAGAGATTTCAAGAAGGAACTGCTTAGAACTATGGCACAAGTGTGGCTCTGAGCTTCCTAGCAGCCTGTGCAAAGTGGGGGAAATACAATCTGGCATACATTACACTGTGCTCCTAAACTAAAAACAAGCCATTTGCCCAAGAGAAATTTCTCCTATGAATCTTTAGAGGAAAACACTGTGTGATACACTGAGCAGTGTTTCCTCAAACAATCCATAAATACCAGTAAGATGAGGATCCCTACCTTCAAAGACTGTAACAATCTAGAAGAGAGAAAAATGCATATGCCCAGGGAATTCCAATACAGATATGTGTGAAGTGTACCAGTAAGGGAGAAAAGAAGGAAATAATACTCTTTTTCTTATCAGTTATATCCAAATCAGTGTGCTGCTGAAAACTAGATTAGCACATGAATATCTTCAACCAGTGGGCCCAGTAAAGAATGGCCCTTGGAGAATAGCACAGGCAATGGCTCTGGGGTGAACCCCAAGAGCCACCTAGCAATAAAAAATGGTTTACATTCTCTTGACTTTTAATCTGACCTGAGTAGACAATGGCTTCACTTTCCAGGCTATGTCACCTCTAAGGTCTGTACTATATTAGATAGTTTAGATTGAACCATATGAAATTACTGTTATTCAACCTTTGTTTTATTTGAAAAATAGCAATTTCATATGATTCAACTAATCATTAGATTTGAAACTAATATAAAATGCTTTGACTGAGACAGCTATATAATAATATCATTTTACTTAGATCATTGTTTTCTAGTTACTAAGTACCTTGCTATACATAATTTTGAAAAATATAAGCAAGTAAAGAAAAACTACCCATAATCGCAACACCCAGAGATGACCTCTGCTAACAAGTTTGGTGTAGATATTTTTTATTTACAATATATGCATACTTTTTCCTTTAAAAATGGAATTTTTAAATGCTTCTGAGTAGGCGTGGCAGATTGAACACATTCTTTTCTATCTGCTCTCCAAACAGCTCTAAAATGGTACTAAGGTAAAATGAAATGTAAACCCACAAAGTTGAGGAGTACAAGAGAGGAAACAACAGCAGGTAAGAGATGTCAACAAAATTTTTGGAAACTGACAAAACAAATGGCTGAGTGGTAACTGATGAGGCAGATCAGAGAAAGTTGAAATCTAAGTTTCAAGGTGAAGAAGC